TTCCTGTTGCCATGACTTCAACCTCCAGATGTTTCCTTTTTATTTTTCAGAGTAAAGTATCAAATCTAAGTTTAAGCTGCGATGGGAGGGATACAGTAAGACATTGGACATGGTGGACATTAATTTTTCCTAGAAATTAGGTGCTTTTTAAGGGCTTTTTAAAGGAAATTCTGTTTTGCATCTGTACTGCAATACCAAATTTATTGCAAGGAATCTCATATTTATAAGGTAAAGTGGGTTTTCCCCCCAACAATTGGAGGATTATATCTAATTTACATACATTTTTATTACACTTTAATATGTCAGACATTTACTCTGCCACACTGTTACAATGACAAAAAAACCCTGCAGCCATGGATTTCACTGCTGATGTGAATGTGAATATTCAGGGAAAGAGAGAGTATTTGAAATTTCCCAAATATGGTCTTCCCAGGTTTGAGGGGATTCTTCTTAAAAATACTTCTCCTACATGTTAGGTCTTTTTCCCACAATCCCGTCATCATAATTCATAGGAGAAATTGGGCCATTGTTTGTAATTTCTTTCTTCATTCGTATCAGAGCATTGCACAATTTAAAACAGAGAAATGCTATGCTAGAGACACTGCAAGAAATTATAATGGTGTCTTTTAATATTAGGGCAGTTATCAGCACTAGTTGGCATTGCTAGGCTTCGGGGACCCAGGTAGTTTGCCTTCTGTCATTCTGCTTCATTGTGATCCCTTCCTTCTTTGCATAATGTCGTTTTTTGCTGCCAATCAACTGTCCATATTTCTTAGCTCCTTCTTTCTCAGTTCAGTTCTCATCCTATCTTTCTTCAATACTCCATCATTTATCAGTGTATTGACTCTGTTCCTTTCATTCAGTTACTGTGCTGTAATATTCTCTGTAATACTTCCTCAATTTTTCTCACACCTTACTAGGTCATAGTTTCTCTGCCTATCTGCAGTCCATTTCTTACCTCTTTTCTTAGAAAAGCACCCGTCTTTCATGATTAGACTCTTATACAGTTTTCTTTCTTCTCATCTTTTCACTAAATTTCTGTATGTGCCCCAGATTTCGTTTAGAGTTGCATTTGGCAATTTTGATTTGACTCTAGTTCTGTTTGGGCTATTTGATCACATTAAGACCTGAAAATGGATCTACATTTTCCATTGATCTGCAGTGGGAGATTTAAATGATTTGTTTATTTTTCCACATAAGTTCATGTGGTTTGGACACTTTACCCTTCTCAGAGAGTATCCATCCTGCCATTTTCCAGACAAATAGGTCTAGTGGATTCTTTTCCCTTCAAAATGGCCATAATGTTTTTGTTTTTTCAAAGGTATAAGAATGAGGGTAAAATAATCACCTAAAAAGGTACTCTTTCTGTATTGCTCATTCCTGCCATGTTTTATACTGATAGGTCTGGGAGTCTTGAGCTCTTCGTATTTGTTTTATTATGTTTGAAGTTTGTTGATATGTATGGTGTTGTTCTGAAATATGGTAACACTGTTACAATGACATTATTGTGCACTCTGTGTATTATTGTGCACTTATTGTTCACTTTGTGAACAAACACACTAAACAACAAAGACTGAAATAAAAATCCAATATAAGATTTTTAAATTGGGGATAAAATAGAATTGGAAAAGAGATAAGGGAAATGGCACTGCCTAATAAACATACTTCAAAAATAACATGGACTCAAAGCAGAAATGTAAAGGGCAAGGAAGGGTGGGAATGAACTGGGAAAGTTTAAGAAAGGAAGACTGAAAACTACCATAAACTCCAATGAAGTTGTTTCAGAAAACATTCCTCAAAAAGAACACAGGAAGCTTATTCAACATGGTCAAAGTGTATGGGCAAATTCTTACCCTTCCCAGGTTGGAAGCAAGAGGGGTGGTGATAAAGGACAAATATCAGTACATGATACAAAAGACGGATCCTTTTGTCGCCAGCAGAATAAAAAGCTGTAGCAGAATAATAAAATGGAATCCCTTCCCTTTAGCCATTGCAGAAATGCTGATCTCTGTCATGAAAGTAGGGCTTTTGCTTGAGTAACAAATCCTGGACGCCTCAATGTGTGCATCATGAGAACACGAAGCCACTTGCATGCCAGTCTGTTGTGCAAACTCTGTACTAAGATCAGCAAACAATACATAGGATTATCCTAGGCTACTCAAAGACAAAGAAAACAAAAGGCTGGGGAATGAAGGTTAGGGAGACTCAGAAATCAAGTTGAGATAAATCAAGACAATTTTTAAAAACCCTCAACATTTCCATTCCGTCATTCGTCAGTTTTTGAAATCTAAAATTTGGCAAATCCATGTGTTCTTGGTATTTGTTTTCTTGTTCCGATGTGATGATAATTGCCTGTTATCATGTTTTCAAATGTTAGAAAATGTAACTTACGCAAGGGCTACCATGTTCCTTCCAGGGTTTTTGGTTTCCATTAATGTGTTTCTTTACCTGACATGAAACCTGATAAAATAGCCTGTGTTATAGAGAGCTAAGTAAGAATCAGCATATGGGCCTGATAGATTTTTGAACCTCCTTTCCTCAATCATTACTCAGCAGATGTGCCTTTAGAGCTCTATCATTCTCTCATAGTAAGCTGAAAGAAGGAAAAATTTTGCATGAATGAAAAGTTTTGATTTTGATAGGATCCAAATCTGTGCTTTGCACATTTGCTAGAGAATATCAGATGCCATTTCCTTCTCTGCCAATTAATAGCTATGCACAAATGGCTTCATAGAATTCTACTCTCTCCCTCTCTTTCATCAAATTTCTGCAAGGAAAGAAGGGGTTCTCAAATTCATAAACCTTGGACTCCCTGTAACCATTAGCTGCAGTGCTACTTTGTTCCCCCCCCCCCCCGGGTTTGTTCCTTTCTATTCTTTTCCACTGCTGCTACAAGTGGTAAAAACAGCAGCTGTGTTGGCAGGCCAGCCACTGTTTTGCTTTTTTCAGAAAGCCCTCTGGTGATGATGATGGCAGGGAGACAGACCCCTCCCCCCGCCTTAGGAAAAAGCTGGAGAAATGATGGAAAGAATTCTATAAAATATCCCCCTGTTCCTGCATGGCTGTCACTGAGGTGACTTAAAAATGCAAGACATTATATGCTTATGTACTTTTTGGCTTGTCTCAGAAGTAAGATAAGCTTAAAATCTCATCTATGAGAATTTCTTCTACTTTGAAGCTCTTTCTTAAAGAAATTACTTTTCTAGCAAACTAAACATGAATACTCACAATTTACATGGGAGAAATGTTCAGCACAATTCAAGTATTGATAGAAAGCAAATAATATTATTCTTTCCACACAAAAAGGTGTGGTAATGCTGACTATATAATTCTCATTTGGGAAGAGTTTGGAATCTTGTTCATACAGAACTTAAGCCACTCTTGTGCTTTGCCATTGATTAATATATATTAAAACTGAAATAGTTTTTGTGTAGTACAAAAGGCAGCACAGCAGCCAAGAATACAAAATATCTTAGTTATCTTCAGATGGGGGGGCAATTTATTTCCACTCCTGCAAAAACAGGAGAGGTCACCTTCACAGAAGTACTCCTTTAGATATTACATCTGCTTTGATACAAGTGTGTGGTAAAATTCAAAGGGAGAAAGGAGTTGTTTTGTAGTTGTCATCTGAAAATAGTTACAGCAACCAGATTTCATCATATTCAGTTTTTTTCCCTCCACAAAATCCCCACTTAGTTTTATTGTGCAGTTGAATCACTTCTGAATTGTGGTGACCCTAATAGGGTTTTTGAGAGGTTCAAAGAGTGCATTACCATTATCACACACACTCAGTGAGTTTGTGTGGCTGGGCAGAGATCTGAACCTGGGTTCCCTGAGTCTTAACAGATACTCCATCCATTGCCCATACTGCCTCTTAATTTGGTTGTATTCAGGCTTTAGTTTCTTCCCAGCAAATTGCTTCTATTCTCAAAAGGCCTGCTGTTATTTAGAAGCAATATTATATTACTATTGAATGCTCATGGCTCTGTGATATTTAATAAATGTGTGTATCATCAGCACAAATAGAATAAAATAACATATCAGAATGGAAACTTCAGTGCAATGCATTTGTAAAAGTTCTTAACTTTTAACTGGATCACACCAAGCATCCTGATATCTTATTTGAGATGAAAGTGCGGTTTATGTTTTAAATTGGTAAACAAATAGTTAAATTTGGCATCCCAATTAATTTCAGTTAGAAATAGACAAGAGATAAGTACATATTTAATTCTCTTATTGAAATCTTGAAGTGCAAAAGATTACAATCCAATAGATAAAGTTTTATCTAGCTCTAGTTAATCCAGTGATGGAAGTAATTCACCAACATAATAGGGAAGAAGACATTTTTTGGCAACTCTTGGTTCCCTAATCAGCCTATATGTCCTCAAATCTGATGTGAGAGAGCCTGTAGAGCAGAATTGAGATGATGATGAGTGCCACAAAGAGACTGGAAATCACCTTGGGCCTGTTCTTCTAGTGGACATATTTTAGCAATGAAGTGGCCAAAACTGCACTGCAGTGCACACTTTGAAGGGATTACAACTGAAATTCAAGGATCTTTCTTCTCAGCAGATCAAGCATTGAGAAACTCTTTCAGCACTGGACCCATGTTCAGTTCCAGAGAAGTTCTAGGAGACCATACATCAGTTGTGGCTGAAGCCGAAGGTCATAACCAGAAATACAAAGATCCTTAGCTGAAAGTTCTTACTATTAAACTTTAGGAGAGACATTTCAATATTTAGGAACAGGGGAAAATCAGTGCAGATGCTGTACAAATCATGGGAAAAAGTGAATGGTAGTCCAGAGGATGCCACAGGATTAGATTAGGGCCCCAAGAAGTCTGGAGTCAGATATGGAGCATTGCATTATGTTGTACATTTGGTTGAATGGTAACTTTTAGTCCATTATTATTATTATTTGAACTGAATACGAACTCATCATATTTGTGTTTAACCATAAAGTGCCATCTTCTTAATACTGTTTTTCCTCTTGACCTTTAGACTCGTCTTATACAGAAGAACATACTTCAGCTCAAACAACAGGCAGGATTATTCAAACCCATTGGAACAGAAGTCAATGCATTGACCTCTACAGCTTGCTACAAATGGCAGGTTTGTGCTGCTTCAATGTTAAAGGTGTATTTCATTCCAGCCTATTGCAGGTTATGCATTTAGCTATACAATTTAAAATGAAGAACATTTGGCTAATTAGGAGGCAGCTGTTCACATAAGTAAATGACTCATGGCAGCATATTTGTGGTACACAACTATTTTTCAAGCTTATGGAAACTCTAAAAGAGAAATGAAGAGGGGAGCAGATGTTTTGTTACAGTACCCTGAAGTATGTCACTGGAAAGTGAATGCTGATTCCATTTATTCTGAAGACTGCATATTTTCTAAACATAAAAAAGCTGGTGAATCATGAACATTAAAATGTAGGTGCAATTTTGCAATTCATCTTCTTCCCAATCATATTTTATAGCCCATCATGTCATAATTTTGTGCAATGAACATTTTACTAGGCACTGTGCTGTTAATGTTCAAGATATACTGTGATTTTTGCCTGTTTAGTGGAGAACTGCATTTCTGGTTCATAATATTCTCAACTATTTTATCTCAAGTTTTCTTTAAAATATGTTTCGCAGACGAATATGAAACAATTAAACATTATTGCCCTGATCCAGATGGATTATGTATGTAAAGGCATCTCCCTCGAACTAGAAATATCCCATAGAAATGTGTTTGGTTGCTGGCCTCTTCTGGTATCTTACTGTTTAGGAACTGCAAGTGCATCATCAAAACCAGGAGGGCATCACATTCACCTCTGGATATATCAGGGCCAAAACACACAAGATGGGCAGTTTAGGAATTATTAACTATCATCACTGCAGAGACACATTTTCCACAGCTGTAAAGTTTGCATAGTCATCACATAAGTGGAGTCTGTTGTTTTCCCTGGTGGCCGATCACCAAAAAGAAAGAAGGAAAGAATGGCGATCTATAATTTGTGGAGGTGTAAAAGATACAAGGCATCTCTCCTTATACCTGAAGAGTTGCCGGTTTGCATAGTCATCACATAAGTGGAGTCTTTTGTTTTCCCTGGTGGCCGATCACCAAAAGAAAGAAGGAAAGAATGGTGATCTATAACTTGTGGAGGTGTAAAAGATACAAGGCACCTCTCCTTATACCTGAAGAGTTGCCTGTCTTGTGCGTTTTGACCTTCAGTTCTTTGTTCTACAGTACAGACAACTGCAGATATAAATCCTCACAAGATGAAATGTGGTTGTGTTTTTATTTTCAGTCATGGGAGTTAGTCTGAACCATTGCTTTAGTATGGATCTTGTCGAAACTGTTGAGCTACAGCCATTGGTAGCTAGTGCAGTGAACTGACTGATAAGATAATCAGCTTGCAGCTGGGCAATTCCTGATTTAGTTTTCAATAATTCTGTGAACTCATCGGGAACCCTTAGGCAGCCTCATCCATTTCCTGAATGGTGTGGGAACAACTGTGAGTGTGGCCTTTCCCCCTGATTTTTAGTAAAATTTGGCACAAGTACTTCTCACACAAATATCACTAAAGTCCAGGGTTGCTAGGAAAATGAACAAGATAAAGGCTGAAGACAATGTGCATCTGTTAATACTTGTTAATTAGCTGCCCAGAGTAGTAGCCCAACTACTAGTTGGGCAGGATATAAATGTAAACAAACAATCAAACAAATAAGGCCAAAAAAGGAGAAAAGTATTAAACACAGTTTTCAGATATTTGTCTATGCAAACATACTAGACAAAAACAGGAAAAAACAAGAGACAAAAAAGTGTGCAAGTGCCCCTGCCACCACCACCCCCAGCAGTGAGGCTGGGATTTAAAGTGGCCCCTGTAATCAACTCCATGGGTTCCAGGCTGCCTTTTTCTTTTCTTTTTGTTGGTGCTTGCAATGGTTGGCTTCCTTGGATGCCAGGAGGACACAAGTTGATGCGAGGATACTTGGGGGGAGCAAATATGGGAGCACCACTGCCTTGCTACTCCCCTTTAGTCGCTGCTACTTCTACTGCTTCACCAGCAGTAATAGGTAGAAGTCATCTTATTCCATTACCATTCCAAAAAGAAATTTCTCATCAGTGGAAACAGATATCTCAATACATTGTGGAAAAAGAAAAAAGAAGGAAAATAAATCAACTCCTGTTAGATTTTTTTGCACCTGTAGAGAGCAAAAGGATCAGCATTTATTTTATTTTTTTGGTCTGCAGCAGGACAAGCCTGTAGTTTTTGCAAAAAAACAGTGCCTTTTTTCAAAGAAACCTATTTTATACAAAAATATGCATGACAGACAGACAGATTCCCTTCTTCTTCCAGGGCAGTCTTAAGGCCACAGAGGCCCAGCTCACTGCGACATAGCTGTAAGAACAAGCCCCTTGAAACAAGAGGGCTGTTCTATGCCAAACTCCAGAGAGGTTGTAGCTCAGTCAGGAGAATCACCGACAGACGAGGAAGACAGCCAGAGTTGCAGGGTTCCCATTCTTCTGCCAAGGGCAAGCTGAGAAGCTGTCCTCTTCTAACCTGCTAGGAGGAAATTGCAAACAGACAGAGAGCTGTTGCTCTCCAGCCTGGGGGTAGCTTTATAAAGAAGGTAAAAGAGACCTTATTTCTTTAAGAGAAAAAAGCCCTGAGAGCTTGAATGCCAGCTTTATAAAACTTCAGCAAAGAGCAGCTAATGCCGAGTAGCATTGTATCACCCAGGAAAAAGAAACAACTTGTTACAAGTAAAGAACAAGGGGAGGTCAAGGGAAAGAATGGAAAAGGCAAGAAAAAGAAAGATTTGTTTCTACTCGCGAAGTTCCAAACAAAGCTGCTCCTACAGCGACAGTCAGAAAAAGAACTGAAGCACTGGACCGGGGGCGGAGTTATATAGCTAGGTGTAGGGGAGGTCCCAGCACTAAGTGCTTAAAGCTGTGGAAGTTACGAAGACTGCTCTGCTCAGGCGCAGATTAACCCATTAGTGTGTATTCATAGAGGACTACTTGAAGAACCAGAGTTACAGGTGAGTAACCTCTTTTACTATATCACGCTGGGTACCCCTGATATATATTACGAGTCACAAATGCTGCTTTCAGTCTAGAATGTCTAGAAAACTTCGCCGGCTGTACTGATGCTTGTATCTCTGTGCACTATCCATAATGCAGTAACTTTTTAAGTCAACCAATATATTCTGTGTGTTTCTGTATGCCTTTTAACAAGTTACTCTTTGGCCTTCTCATATAACACTATTATCTCCTATTCTGACTTCTACATTTGCGCATAAATGCACAATACACAACATACTTTGCAGTTTTAATTCCAAGTTATCCCAATTCTACCGACAGGAGCCTGGTTCTGGTGGAGGGGCTGTAGAACTCATTTAAGGAAATGGAATATCTTTTCATACCTTTTTCTTGTCCTTCTCTATTTAAAATGGCTGAGGAAAAAAGACTAAGCTCTAGCAGTAAGGGAAAAAAACCCATTTAAAAAAAGATTATATGCAATATTGACCATTCTTTATTCACACATTACATGCACACAATCACCCACACATGTTAGGTCTGTTTGTTTTAGGCATAAAGAGGCTAAATCATGTGCAATCCCATCTAATTACTTTAAAATGACCAGTTTGTTTTTCACTGTCGGATAAAATTATACTCACAAACTTTGCAGAATTAGACCTCTTTGTGGCAGAGATCTCAAATCGCTTTAAGTTGTTAATGAAAATGGATTGGATTTTCAACAAATCTCCAAGTAGGAGCCTAAAATGTGTTTTGTTATTATATAACAATTTTGTTTAAAGTAAAATTATTCCCTGATTCCGTCTGTGCAGTCTCCTGTGGGAGGCATGACGGTCACTATTCAGGAATGCAATTGACGTTATTGCTGCTATTTCTGTTTGAAACAGAACTTGTTCTTGGCTGAGAAAAACCCAAAAAGAAGGCGATGGGCATTGCTGTAAGATTCAGTAGAAAATGTTTGGAAAAATAAAACAAGTGCCGATCCGATTTCAGATTATGTTAAATATGCTTGCTGCACTATGCTTGCATTTTAAACCTCAGCAAACCCAAATAGCTCAAAATAAGAGGTGTTTCTATGCTTTTTATTTATTTATTTATTTATTTGTTTGTTTGTTTGTTTGTTTGTTTGTTTATTTGTTTATTTGTTTATACCCCGCCCGCCCCCCAGACAGTGTCTACTTTTGACCAGACAATAAGGAGGTGATTAAATGGTAGTAGTTATTTTTATAACAAAATATATATTTTAATATTTTAAAATATTTTAAGTATGTATTAAGTCATTGATCTGTCAGCAAAGGCCTTTTTTCATTTTTTCAAGGTTTAAAGATTTAGAGGAATACTGGGAGATTAAACATGTAAAAGTGAAAAATACAATGATATTGTGAATATTTTAGCTGTTAAGAATGTATAGTGCATATTTCTCCAGCATTTCTATAGATTGTTTATGAACCTAGAGGAAAACCAGATGTCTCCTAACCTAAAAACAGGTCTAGCAATATGTTCCTGTGTGTCTCTGTGGGTTTTTAATAGTAAGTTACTCACATATAGCCATTCCTGTATAAAACTATTCTATCCTATTCAAACTTATATGTTGCACATAAACAACATTCGAATGTATAAGTAATAAAGTAACTTTTCTTTGATGATTTTGTGGAATGTAATCTGGGTAGAGTTCATGAAACCTTCCAGGAACAAATCAAGCATGTCCATGATGACTCATGCGTGGATTAATCCCTTGCTGGAAAATTCAGTTACATAGACTGGTTTTGTGCTGAAAAGCAGGCGTAAAGCCATTCCTTTCTACACCTGGGTGCTCTATAATTCTAAGCATAATTTTGGGTTTTTGTACTTAGGAAATCATATAATGCATTGGGCAACAGGTCCCACTAGGCCAGTATTATTAATATTATTTTCCTGTACTGATTGTCAGAGGTTTTCCAGTGTTTCAGGCAAGAGGGTTTTTGTTTTGTTTTGTTTTTTAGTAAAGCCACATAGGACTTGAATTCGATTACCAGGGCCAATTTCTTTCTTTTTTCTTTTATCTGTTGAGAAAATTGCAATCATGCATGCCTAAA